GGGACGATAGCTGTCAGCTCCACAGCTGGTCTTGCCAGCCCAAATCATCCCAGCCTCATTTGGCTGGAGAAGGAGCCTGCTCATTACATAGAGGGGACATTTGCTGAACCAGAGCCAATATTTTAAACCTTTGGCAATTTATGCTAACTTCCTCCAGCTAGGACAGACGTTTGTTGGCTCTGGCTGTCTGGACATGTTGTTCTCTAGGCATTTTGTGTGGTCCTCAAGTGGTCCCCAGCCAGCTGCTCATCTATAGGAGGTTTTTATGGAATTGCGCAAAGCTTGTTACACTCTGGCTGCTGGGCGGACAGTTGCTCTTGCCTCAATATCCATTTCGTTCAATTAAACAAAAAATAATGTAAAATCCGCAAAAGATACATGTAAGAAACAGCAAGCTCCATAGACTGTTCTTAATTTACCTCAAGTCTGTTTGGTAAGGACATTGCTACCACATTACTTAATCTCAGCATTTCATTTTACAACTGAAAGGAATATTGCACTTCTGGGTACGTTTCTTGTCCTTGATGGATTATTACGAGGGTCTCGAAGCCTAGTTCCAATAGCCTTTCCTTTTCTGGATTCCCCTCAGAGCTAAGTCCATGACTTCCACAAGCTTCCTTCATATATTTATAGCTAGGTGAGATAAAAGAATCAATACGATTGGAATATTGAATGTATGGTTATTATGCAAAACTAGAGAGTAAAAAGAAAATTGTTATTCACCAATGACCCTAATGCCTATGAAGATGTGTTCTCCTTATAATGTTCTATAAATGTTTTAGTGCATATAAATGATGTTATAACATCCTCATATTAATAGCGATGCAGTGATAATGTTTCCAGTTATTGAATTTGTTATTAAGGACTAAAAATATTAATATAACACAATCCTTTTTATAACACGTACTCCTTCCTTCTGTCTTTTCATTCTTACGTTCTCTTTTACTCAAATTCTTCCTGTTTGTCTCTCACTCAGGATTTACCGAGTAATTGATTAGCATGGTCTCTGTTACTTATTTATATCTGGGTTTAGATAGGTGATTGAGATACAGCTCCTGCACTCAAAGAACTCACAGTGTAGACAAACAGTGGGGTTGGTGTTATGATATTATTATGTACACAGTGCTGAGTGAGCACAGGAGGCACCCCAATTCCAGAATAGGATGTGGGCGCATTGAGTAAGACTTAGTAATGAGTCCATCGAGAAGAATGGATGAACTGAAATTACCCAGTGAAGTGGTGAGTGAGGGAAGAATATGCTCAGTGGAGGGGCACATCTCATGCAAAGATAGATGGCTGTCAAAGTACGTATTACCATTTTGCAAAGGAACATGTATATCTTCTCAGGGTGTGCAGGCAAAGTCCTGCAGTCAATAATGAAAGCTTTTAAGCAGGGGAATGAAGGGGATTTTTAGATAGGTCACTCTGCCTTTTATTTGTTGTGTGGGCTTGGGTAAGCTATTGAACCTTTCTGAGGTGTAGCTTCTTCCTTTGTAAAAAGTGCTACTCATGTTTATTGTAAGGCAACACTGGTGATTATGTGGGGATAAAATATCCAGACTATGCATGGTATATTAGGGGTACTCAGAAGATACTAGATTCTCTTTGATTTCCTGCATTACGTGATAGTTTAATTTAATAAATGTATCTTGAGCACCTATGTGTGCCTATTCCAATGCTAGGCCCTAGGGACAGAATTCAATGAGACATTGTCCTTAGCTTCAAGAAGCTCAGTGATATGTAACTAACTCTAATAATCACAAGACCATGGTTTCTTATCTCCCCTGTGCCATTAGCCAGCCATCACCTTACTCATTTTCTAGCCCTCTGCAAAACTACCCTCCATCCCTACCTATCTTTGCCTTGTTCTTTCCTATCTCAGGAAAGAACATCTGGGCCCTTCTCCTACCGATAGGTGATATTGAGCTTTGTATCACATCCCCTTCACTTGTTTTTTTCATTCTTTCTCCCTCCATATAAAAACATACTTAAATCTCTCCTGTATTACAAACATAGCTTATCCTCACCCCTAAGGTCTGGAATGACCCTAGTAGCATAAGAGCAATGGCCCAACTAGTGGTATTCAAAAAAGGAGTTCAGGAGGCAACATGATTTAGAAATGGAAGAGTAAGTGATTTAGTTTAGTGGTAGGAGGGAGGGGATGATGAGAAGGATCAAGATTGTCCATAACCAAATGGGATCCAATTCTAAAGGACCTGATTACTGATGGAGGGCGTGAAGCATAGGAAATTTGTCTGTGACTCAAGTGAGATGCAAGGTAGAGACTGGGAATTATGAACCAGGTAGAAATCTTGATGTCTCTAATGGAACACAAACATAGTCAGGCTAGTAGTTTCACTGACGTGATAGCGAGTGGAGTGTATGGGACATCAGTTCTCAATTCACCCTGCCTCGTGGTGGCCTGTTTTCAGCAATTGCCGTCTGACTAGACCCGTATGGGCATATCAAGTAGCCTCTATTCTTAGGAGGAAAAGGAACCAGCAAGCTAAGGGCCTTGCAATTTCAATAAGGAAATATGGAGAAAGGACATTCTAAGTAGAGGAAATGACATGAGCAAAAAAGCATGGTATCAAAAATGTGGCATATTTGTAAAGCACGGAATAATGTGGTATGGATATAAGTGATTCATACGGGGAGTGTTGTAGATAAAACTAGGCAGTAGATCTGGGTGAGTCTCAAGGACCTTAAATGCAAGTTTGTACTCGGTACTAATTTAAATCGATATCCCTTAAGTGGTGTCTGTGGTATCTCATTTAGCGGTGTGCTGTGTGTCCTTAAGGAATTTACTTAATTGTCTTTCCTTATAAAATAAATGGTGGTCTCTTTACGAGATTATGTACTTTTACTTTGGGAAATTGAGGATCAGGAGGTTAATTTTCTTACTTAAGTTAACGTAAGTAGTAAATGAAAAAGGCCGAATTTGAACCTGGTTTAGTACCCTTTCTGTAACCTAGGATAGTGTTGATCTTAGAGTCACACGTGCATTTGAATCTTGGCTCTCCATTCTAGCTGCGCAACTTTGTGGACAAATTAGTTCTCTGAGCCTCAGGCTCGTTTTTCATCTGAAAATGAGGATAAAATGGTAATATTCAGAGGCTTGTATGAGGATTCAAAGAGGTTTAATGCGTATAAAATGCTTAACAATTGTCAAATAATTTAAGTGGTAGCTATTACTAGCATTACATGTAAATTAGATGAAACAATGTGATTTTACTGCCAGAAAAATAGAATAAAAGGAGTCGATGTAATAAACTTATTGGCAGGTAGTTCATGTTAGCATTTCTAATCTAGCAGTTTGATGTTGTGTTTATATTGGAACAAGAAATTAGTGCTAGTTCTGTACTGAGGTTCTGAGTCTAATTCATATATTCATTCATATATTCATTAATGATTCTTTCAACAAATATTTATTTGAGTACACTATAGACCAAGTACTATTCCACATACAGTGAATAAGACAGATGAATTCTCTGCTCATGGAGGACCTTACATTATAGTGGTGTGCCAGGGAATAGGAGGCAGATGACAAACAAATAATTAAATAAATAACATCAGATAGTAGAAAATGATGTGAAGACAGTAAAATGAGTGATTCGATTAGAGGTGACTGGTGAGGGTGGAGCTGGATAGCTTTACGGTGGGTCCTACTAGAAAGCCTCTAAAGAGGTGACATTTTAGGTGTGACCTCAATATCAGCAGGGTACAGGAAGTGCGAAGTTCCAGAGGTAGGAAGAAGCTTTGTGATATGTCTAAGGCACTCCAATTATTTATAAGCCCACTGAGTGTTATTTCACCCATGATCATCTGGTCTAAATTTGACTGTCTGGAAAGGGTCAGATAGACATGTTTATGTGTCTGTGACCTTAGACTAGTTAGTTAACCTTATTTTAACCTTAATTTCCTTTACAATATCTGCTTCTCAGGGTTGTTAAGACTAAATGAGATAATGGATTTTAAGCGTCTATTGCAGTGTGCCTGGCCTGATGTAGGCCTCAGTTAATGACTGTTAGCTTTTTACCTACTTCTTTCCCTCCATTATAAAAAAAAAACCTAGTCTGATAAAAAGCACATTCCTTACAGGTCACAGATGGCAGCTCTGTCCTAGCTTCCTGCCCAGCAACACATTGCCTGTAGCAATAAACCTTTTGTGAGGTTTTGTTTTTTTTATTATTATTTGCGCGTCCCTTGCTGTGCCTCTTCTAGTACCTTGCACATTGTAGGTATTAAGTGAGTTTTGATTTCCTATGAGACAACAGGAGCCTTTTACATGAATTTCCCAGCATGGTATCGAGAGGATTGTAGAGTGTCGGCATTAGTATGTGACACACAAGCATTGTTAGTGCTGCTTTGGATGCTGCGTGACTTCCAGTTGTGCTGAGCAGCAAAGAACTTAATTCAGTTTCATGCTCAAGGACGGTAAAGGCTGAGTCCTTCATTTCAGCTTTTCAACTCTTGCTTTTCAGCTAAATCTTACAGGACGTTTTCCTCATTTTTAATAGCCTCTTTTAATACACATAATTCCAAAGAATTCATTCAGAGAGACAGTGCTAGGTTCCTATTGCCTTGAAAATTTTTACTTATTATCAGTTGTTTATATGCATTGTAGATTAACTTTTTCATGACATATTTAGTTCACTCTTGTGTTCCTTCTTCCTTTTTCAAAAAATTTGAGTGGTTAATGCATATGAAAAACATCAAACGAATAAAAAGGTAACTACTGCACAGGCCCTTTTTATGCATAATTCTCTGAGCCACATCTCCTACAGCTTTCAGCTATACCAATAGCAACTGCCCATTTTCTAGGCAGAGTGGTTTGGTGTTATATTTCAGGAAGTGGAAACTGCTGAGACAAATGCAAATGTTATTTTTTTTTTTCCTTCCCAGGAGCTACAGACATTGACCCCATGAAACCTGACACTGTCTCCTTCATTGTGATTTCTAAGCAGAGATTTAATCTGTGCCTTCTTTCCCACATCTAGGAGCGGAAAAAGAAATTTGAAAAGGATGGTGAGAGGTTTTATTCTTTGCTGGATCGGCACTTACATCTGTCTTCCAAAAAGAAAGAATCTCAGTTACAAGAGGTATGTTCCAAAAGCTTCGCCCTGCATTCCATTGCTAGCTATGCCTTGGAAACAGTGGCAGTTATCTATAGGAGGGCTTTCTCCATACCCTGTTTTAGCAGAGAATCATAGGTGATAGTACCACTTGCAGTTCAAACCTTGGCCTAGGACTCAGGAGCCCTGATTTTTGCAGTCATCTCCCCCACTAACTCAGGATGTGACCTTGGGTAAGGTACTTTTTCCTTGGCCAAACTCCCCCTATTTATAAGAAAGTCTTGATGATATCCAGAATCTCTTTCTATTCCAAGTCTCCAATTCTAGATTTCACATGAGGATAGAGTTAAAGTAATGTTGTGTTTGGTAGAACAGGAGCAGAACTTCTAATTTTTGCCATGAGATATTCCATAACTCTATTTTTTGTAGTTGGTCCCATACTGGGACTACTGCTTACGTGGGACTTACAGTAACTTCGGTTCAAATAAGCTACTATTCATTGATTGGCTTCTAAATGCCAGGCACTATTCTGGGTCCAACAGGACTACAGAGAAAACAAGACATGCTTTCTGCTATTCTGTAGCTTACAGTTGGCATACTGAATGATAATACTCATTAATCTTATACAAGTAGAAGTTTTTACATACTTTAATATGTTTATGTATTTGGTACGCTTGTGAAGGTGGGAAAGTAGAGAACAGAATACTTACATTTGGTTGTGGGGAACTGCCTTGTGGAAGAATATTGCCTTTCCAGTTTGAGGTGGTCATTCAAAAATAGGTAAAGTGTTTGACAGGTAGTCATGGAGAAATGGACCTTTGAAATGGAGGCCAGTGGTCCCAAGGATGGAAAACATGGAGGGCATTTGGGAAATGGTTTGGCCAGAAGTTGCCTTACAATCTGAGGGTAGTGAAAGACAAGATGGGATCGTATAGGTTGAGGCCATGTTGTGGTGTAGTAAGCACAGAAGTTTGTATTTAATTCTATTGGCCCTGGGGGATCATTGAAGGCTTTTGGTCATGGAAACAACATGAGTAGAATTCTATTTTAGGAATCTTAAAGTAGCTGAGGTTGTAGGATGAATTAGATCAGGGAGAGACTAGAGGCAGGATAACCAGTTTAGGAAACTGTTGCAGTGATGTAGGGGAAAGGACCTGATCCAGAACAGTGGCACTGGAGAAGAGAAAGGAAGAATTAACTGATTAAGAATTTTTTTTAATGGAAGAATGACAAGTAAAATATCCTGTAGAAGATGGAGCTATTAAAGATTAAAGCATGAATATAGGGATACCTGATGGAATAAAATCATAGACATGAGCTATAACAGGTCTTAGAAATCATGTCCAGGCTTACACAGATTGTGACAGAGATGTAGCTCGTCTCCTGATACTTGGTTTAATGGGTATCCATCACTTTGAGGAGCTTGAAGATGATGGATAAAGAGCCTCAGTGGTGGAGGGAGTTAATATTGAAAAAGAGAACGACTACTTTTCTTCCATAAACTGGAATTAAGTCTGGTGTTTTTGCCATTTTCCTTTTGCCCATTTTTGTTTTCTTCCTTTTGCATTTATTCTGTGTCAGGACTCCTGTGTAGAAAAGAGTTGACATAATAGACCTGAGACCGCTATGCTTAAAAAGGCCTGTTTACAAGATTAGCCCTTGGCTGGCATCTGAGAACTTGACTGGTAAACAGTTCTCTATGTTGGTGATGAAGTGTCCATTATGGGATAAGAGTAGCTTCCTATTCCTAGAATGCCTGTAGAAATATAATAAGTCTTATTCTAAAGACCTTCTTTTCTTCTAGGAGTCTAGAACTTTGGTATGTGCTGGGCAGAAGTTTCTTATATAACCAGCCCTTAATAAACACCTAGGGTACGCAATCTCTAATGACCATCCCTGGCAGACAACATTTTCACTGTGCTATAACTCATTGAAGGAGGGATTAAATGTGTCCCGGGTAACACCCCTAAGGGAAGTCTCTTGGAAGGTTGTACCTAGCTTCTTCTAGACTTCATGTGCCATTTCCCTTTCTGCATTTTGTTTTGTATTCTTTCACTAAAATAAATCTTAGCTGTGAATATGACTGTGCTGAGTCCTGCGGATCCTCTTAGGGAATAACAAAACTCAGAGGTGGTCTTGTGGACCCCATGGTCCAAATTTTGGAGACTTTTGTTATTCAAGCTTCTGGAGTATTTTAGCAGTTGGTGCTGTATTTAGATGTTCGTGGTAACTTTCTCGATCAGCAAAGATGTAGCTTTTGTATAACTTTTTCAATAAAAAATGATCTGGTTCTGTGAAGGGGGAAATGTAGGAGAAAAAAATGAGCTGGGTGACCTTGCATCAGTCACTTTATTTATTTATTTTTTTTTTTGAGACAGAGTCTCACTGTGTTGCCCGGGCTAGAGTGCCGTGGCATCAGCCTAGCTCACAGCAACCTCAAACTCCTGGGCTCAAGCGATCCTCCTGCCTCAGCTTCCCGAGTAGCTGGGACTACAGGCATGTGCCACCATGCCCGGCTAATTTTTTCTATATATTTTTAGCCGTCCAATTAATTTCTTTCTATTTTTAGTAGAGACGGGTCTCGCTCTTGCTCAGGCTGGTTTCGAACTCCTGAGCTCAAACAATCCGCCCGCCTCGGCCTCCCAGAGTGCTAGGATTACAGGCGTGAGCCACCGCGCCCGGCCTTCCTTATTTCTTCTTAACTGAGACTTGTACTGAATTTTCAGTTGTAATTTCACCAGTGCTGGCCATAGCATCTCCCTCTGTTCCTGGGCTTCTGCTCTGGTTCTCTGTATTTACCTCTTTAGTTAGTTTTCAAAGCAGCAATTTTTCCTCTGTCTTGAATTCTTGTTTGGATCTAAGAAGAGGTGTCGATTTCCCGTTTGTTCATATTTTTTCTGGTTGTCAGGATGGATCTGGTGTGATGACTTCTAAGCTTATTTTATGTTGAACCAAAACTGGAATCCACTTTTTGTTCCTTGGCTTCATGTTTTCTATCTGTAAAATAAAGGGTAACATCACTTGTTGATGGATAATTGTCCCTCTAATGCTAGCATTCTGTTGAGTCCATAAGCCCTAACATTATGAATGACAATGCCAATGTGTGACATTTGTTGCCCTTCCTCTTTAGGCAGACCTTCAAGTGGACAAGGAGAGGCACAATTTCTTCGAGTCTTCCCTTGATTATGTTTATCAAATTCAGGAAGTTCAGGAGTCCAAGAAGTTCAATATTGTTGAACCTGTAAGTTTTCTCTATTGGTGAATGTTGTAAGAATATTTACCAAATATTTGGTAAATGTGTGAAAATTTGGTCATAAAATTTGTTTCTCAAAGAATGTGAAGAATAGTCAATGTTTAATAATGAACGTCAAGAACTTAGTCACAGTGACTTATGTATTTTTTGCTTTCTCACTAGTATTCCTTCTCTCTCTCCTTCCTCCTCTCTTTGTCTATGACTGTTTTCTTTCTTCCTCTTTTCTTCCTTCTCTCTCTCCTTCCCTCCCTCAGTTTCTCTGCCACTCTTCCTATTACCTTTCCCTCTCTACCTTCCTCTCATGCTTTCAGAAATCTTCTGAAAGTATCTCTCATATACCAGGTACTATGCTAGGAGCTCATATCCCTCGCACTCAATGACTTCCCATTCGATTATTTTTACTTCTATTTTGTGTACTTTTTTCTACTTCCATCTCCTTAATTTATTATAATTGGTGATGTGCTTTGATTTCATAAGTGTGTTGAATTTTAATAACGTTCTTTTTTATTATAAAAATAACAGTCATTGCAAAAAAGTTAGGAAAAACTCATAGGAAAAACAAAACAAAAACAAGAAATCCTTTAATCCACAGACAATCACTGTTAATATTGTGTCACTTTCCCTTCCAAATTTTCTTTGTATCTGTCATCTCTCTTTATCTATGTGTGCATGTGTACTTGTACGTGTGGGTGTGTGTACACATGTGCACATTTATATGTAATATGAGCATGTATATCTGTGTACATGTGTATCTGTCCTGTCATTTGTATACATCTGTGTATGTATATGTGCAAACAAGTGTTTATTGTGAACAGGGAAGACTCAGTTTTTCTTTTTATGAAGACTATACTCTCATGGGTTACGGCGAAAGAAGGATTCACATAATTAAAATAATTGAAAGTTGTGATACGGGCTATAAAGGAAACCAAGAAGGGCAAAAATAAACAGAAATGGGCAGCTAATTTAGATAGTGTTTAAGGAGGACCTCTGAAAGTACCATTTAAGATGAGGTCTATAGGAAGAGAAGTTGCAGCCATTGGAATAGTGGGGACATAACATAGCAGGAACACAGAAACACATGTATATAGCCCTTAAGAGAGAATGGTGTGCTCATGGAATTAAAATTTTAGTATATTTAGATATTGGTAATAGAAAAGGAGATTGAGAGGAGATAATGTCTGATAGGAAGGCATAGGAAATATAGGCATGGTAAAGGGTTAGGGTTTTTGTCAAAGTACGGTGGAAAACCACTGTATGGTTTTAAACAGGATATGATGTGGGCCGATTTTGCTGTGTGGAGATGGCTTGGAAGGAGCCAAGAGTGGAAGGGAGGAAAACAGTTAGGAGGCTAGTACAGTGTCTAGGCAAGAGGAGATGCTGGCTTAGGTTCAGGTGGTGGTAGTGGGAATAATGAAGCATACTTGTATTAGGCATATATTTCAGAGGCAAAGCTAATAGATTGGAGTATATTGTGAATGAAGGAGAAATTGGGGATGAATCTTTAGTTTCTGGCTTGAATGACTGGGTGGGTCGTGATGGAGAAGCTGTGGCAAGAGAAAGGAAGTATTGTGGGCCGGGCGCGGTGGCTCACGCCTGTAATCCTAGCACTCTGGGAGGCCGAGGCGGGCGGATCATTTGAGCTCAGGAGTTCGAAACCAGCCTGAGCAAGAGCGAGACCCCATCTCTACTAAAAATAGAAAGAAATTAATTGGACAACTAAAAAAATATATAGAAAAAATTAGCCGGGCATGGTGGCGCATGCCTGTAGTCCCAGCTACTCAGGAGGCTGAGGCAGAAGGATCGCTTGAGCCCAGGAGTTTGAGGTTGCTGTGAGCTAGGCTGACGCCACGGCACTCTAGCTCGGGCAACACAGTGAGACTCTGCCTCAAAAAAAAAAAAAAAGAGAAAGGAAGTATTGTGTGTATGTGGATATCACACACATCTGTACACACATCTGTATCATACATGTGCATGCCTGTATATATTTAGTTTTTCTGTATTTATGTGTGTGTATATAGTGTGTATATGTATATGTGTATATATATATATAGATATAGTGTGTGTGTGCGCACGCACGTGCCTTTTCATATGATGTTACCTATTTGCTTTCTAAAGAGTGTAATTTTTACTGCTACCTATTATACTTACCCAGCATTGAGCATTATTTAAAAAATATTTATAATTTGAGACTGAAAATCGTATTTTCTTTTCTCTTTCTTTATATGTACTTGATTTCTTATGGGGTTGAACATTTTAAAGGTTTGAGAAATTATCGATCATTTGTATGTCTTCTTCTACAACTCCATGAAACTTGTTCTCATTTGAACATTGGGTCAGAGTGTTTTGACCTATTAGCATTATGATAGTCTTCATTAAGGTAAAGAATCTTACTTTATTCATTGATCTATTTACTTATTCATTCATTCATCATATATTTATTGAGCACCTACTATGTGCCAGTCCTGAGGACGTATATAGAAAAGACAAAGTCTATTCCCACACTTTCCAAATGATGAATGACTTTGTGCACTATCTGAAGAAGTTCTGGATGAACAAATTTGTTTATTCACAAACAAATACAATAAATACTTCTTATTTTCTGAAAATGACTGCAGGATAAATGCTTAACCTAATATGAGAATGGATATGTGTAGAGGTGTTTGTGTTTGCATTGCTGTATTTAACACTGTAATGAGTAAACTCTGTGGAGTTTCTTCTCTGAGTTCATGGTTGTCTTGTTTGGTTAATTAGAATGTGCTCGTGATAATGTTATTTTTCCATGTTCTCCATAGGTCTTGGCCTTTCTTCATAGCCTCTTCATTTCTAATAGCTTGACCGTGGAGCTCACACAGGATTTTCTCCCATACAAACAGCAACTCCAGCTCAGTTTGCAGAATGTGAGTTTATGTGTGGGTGGTTTTCACATGTCTGTTTATTCTAATTGAATTTCAGCCCTTGTCACCTTACCTTGTAATTCTAGGTTATTGCATTCTGTCCAACTTGTTAGAATATATTGGTGTGGAACACAGATATTTTAGTGTACTGGATTGTTCTTGATCTTCTATTTTCATATCTTCCCTATTTTTGTCACTGACTCCTGTTCATACCCACCTTTCCACCCACCTACACCTCCATATATCCTATATTTAATAAATGTTTCTAATTTGTTCCGTCTCTCCCAGATCAGAATCCAGCAATAGGCTTCTTTAAGCACAGGTCTCAAGCTATTAATACTTCCCTGGTCAAGACACTCTCACTGTGGGTTTTATTACCATAAACACCCGTTTACCCTTTCTCTCTTTTCTCACTCCTTATTACATGAATTAAATACATTATCTGTAAGGGTTTTTTCTGCCTTCTTTCTCATGCTGGTTTTTATAGATGGCCATAGGCACAGCCTTCCTATTCTTGTCACGTATATTCTTATACTCATTCAGTTATTTAAGCCACATTTTACAAATGCTTATGGGTACCATGAATATGGTTACTCTGTGCCTTGTAAAAGGCACTGCACATAGCATCATGATACATGTAAGTTTTTATTTCATAAAGGAATATACTGTTTCCTTATTTAATCAACCTTATATGAATCCTATTAGAAAAAAATCTCCCAGTTGTGGTTTTATGAGTATATTGCTAATTATATATGTTTTTCTTCCAGTCTTTAGTAGTATTAATCTGTTCATAATTGTTTTCTAGTCATGATACCATTCAACATTTATTTTTTGCCATGTTGTAGTACATGCTGTAAGTAGAGAAAACTCTGTCCATGAGTCTCTGACCAATAATACTCATGATGATAGATGATGATTATGATTTTGGTGATGGTCTTTTGACAGACAAGGAATCATTTCTCCAGTACCCGGGAAGAGATGGAAGAACTTAAGAAAAGGATGAAAGAAGCTCCCCAGACATGCAAACTTCCAGGACAGCCCACCATTGAAGGCTATCTCTATACACAAGAAAAATGTGTGTATGGGGACAGGGTGATATCCACTGGGTTTCAGTAGGCTGGCACTTACTATCACTTGAACTCTCTGAACTCTGGGCACCCATATTGTTAATAGACATCTAATAGTGACAACTTCTTGGAGCACAGGCTGGAAATAGTGAATAGAAAGAGGAAGGAGAGATTGAGGGAAACTTAAGGATTAGTCTTACAAAGGCTCTGGGGTGATTCAACCTGGGGTGATTTCTTTGAGATTAAAAATGGGGATTGTTAATGGTTTAATCTTTCTCGTGACTTCTTTACTGAGGCAAAAAGAGAGGTACAGAAAAGGACATAGAAAAATATGAATACTATGTGCCACGCATGGTACTAAGTCCTTTGAAAACACTGTCACATTTTATCTTTGAAACCACCTATCTCACACTTAACGTCTCCCAGAGTTCATCATTTGCAATTCACCCAGTGAACTAGTGGTAGGCCTAACATCAAATTCAGGTCTGTGAGATGCCAAAACTCATGCTCCTTCCACTATGCCCTATACCATCCACTGATTTAGGATCACCTGGTTGTTCTTAAAGCACTTAATGACTATGTTGATTTCAGTCAGCAGGACATCATTGTTCATCGCTAAACAAAGAAAACGAGTGAACTCATTCAGTCACTGAATGTTGCAGATAATTCAGCCTTTCCTACCTCTGGATTAACATTATGCAAACCTGCATGTTCTATTTGATTTCCTTTTGAACTATGACGCTAGGCTCCCAAATCCTGAGACTTCAGTGCCTGCCCAGGGTTATTCTACCTGGGGAGTCAGCAGAAGACACACAGCCATATGTTACCTGTGGCAAAAATCACTGGAATTCACGAAGAATGGCATTTCAGCAGTGAAATTATCATGCTTATCTCCCCTTCGGCCAATGAAGTTTTGATTATTTTCATAGAAGCATTCTCCCATTCATCCTTTTCATCTCTACAACTGTGTATTGTAGAGATTCTCAATCTCATTGCTATTGACCTTTCTACTTGGATAATTCTTTGTTTTGTGGTGTGATCATGTACACTATAGTGTGTTTAATCAGCATCCCTGATCTCTCTTTACTTTATTCTAATAGCATTCCCCAGGTGTGACAACCTACAATGTCTCCAGGCATTGGCAATGTCCCCTGGAAGGTAAAATTACTCCTAGTTGAGAACGTCTGCTAATGCTAAGGGATACTTCTGTGGCCGAAGTCATGAGAAAGATTAAACAATTAACAATCCCCATTTTTAATCTCAAACAGTATGACATTGCTATTCATTTGAATGTATGCTTAATGAGCATTGTTTCTGACAGGTATCATGCAATAAATTTAGGAAACAGAAAAGAAAAAGTCAATCAACCATAATTTTTGTCCTCGAAGTTCACAGTGTGATGTCGAGATAGACAAGTATATCAATACTTGTAATGGAATGTGTCGAGCACTTTATTTGGCCATATATCTAAGGGCTTCGCTGAGGAAGTGATGATTCAACTACAGCTTGAATGATGAGTGGGAGTTTCACAGGAAAAGAAAAGGGGGAGTAGAATTCCAGGCATATACCACTGCATTTGTAAAACGTGTGGGTGTGGGAGGACATAGATTATCTGTAGGGTCCTGATTTGCCAAGAACAGTTTTGGTTTACAGCTGTTTTCCTGGTATAATTATTAATAATACTGCTCCATTCACTCTTAAATAAGTCTTGGATTTGGAATATAAATTATATGGCTACCTATTTACGTAGGAACTGAAAGTAATTCATTGAAATGGGAACATAGAAGTGAGGGTTCCAAAAGACAAAGCTGGAAAGGTAAGTTTTGATCAAATTATCAGGGGATTGTAGGCAGGCTAAGAATTTTAGAGATGTTTGGAAAGCCATGGGTGGTTTAAAATAAGGGTAATGACATTAATAGCCATATATTTAAATCATGTTCCTCTAGCAAAAGGGTGGAGTATGGACTGGAAAGGTTTTATCACAGATGGGGAAACTAGAGAGAAGGCCACTAAAATAGACAATTGAAGAAATAGTGAAGTTTTATTCTATTTGAAATAATCTCAGAACACTGAAAAAATAAGACAGCAATAGGGTCCTTAACTTTCAGTGCTAAAAGGGATGGAGAGGAAGAGGCAGCTAAAGGAGAGACATGTAGAATCATTTAGGAGATAAAAGGGTCAGAATCCAGTGACCAATCAAATAGGACAAGTTATAGGGACGTAGGAGCAGGTGACAGAAGTCTCCAGTTTCTGAGATATATGGTGGTACTTTTCATCAGCAACATGGCAGGGAAAGTAGGTTTGGGGCAAGCTGGGGACAGATGTGGAAAGCAGTTTGTTTAGGTTAGAATCTTATGTGCAGATGACTGCATAAGGCTGGACATAAGGACAAGAGTAAGGCTGGGTCGGGAGTTTGAATGTGAGCAGCAAACTGTAAACACCTTCTATCTTACGGGTTGACTGACAATACAGCTAAAACATTTATGTTCTGTCAGGTCACTTTTGCCTGTCTTTGTAGGGGCTTTGGGCATATCCTGGGTGAAATACTATTGCCAGTATGAGAAAGAGACCAAAACGCTTACCATGACGCCTATGGAGCAGAAACCAGGTGCTAAGCAGGTCAGTTGTTGTTTTTGCCCCATTTTTGGAGTTATGTCTGTTACTTCATCTCAGCAAAGAATATATGCTGATTTATTATCTAATAAACAAGTCCATCACTGTCATGCGAAGCGATGACTTTACATGTTGTCTTTGGCGTATGTTAGCACTTGGACAGATACCACTCTGTTGAGTGAACAATCTCTATGTTCATTATGTCAGGCCTTCTGATGGTGCCTATACTCTTTCAGACCATTTATCGTTACAAAGCCCTGTCACACTGTACAAAGAAAATATGCAAAAAACCGGATTCTTTGCTTTTAACACATTAACTGCCATGTGAGTTGTATTTAACTCACACTAGTTTTGAGCCCAGGGCCTCATGAAGCATATTCAACTCACGTCTCTTCACCTTGGGAGCCACGAGAGTTATTTTTTAAGTTGCATGTAACTCTTACAGAGAAAACAATACAAAAATAACAAAATTTTCATTAAATTAGAAAGGATTGTTTTGTATTCAAAGTTTTTATTCTATTTTTGTAATAAAACACTGGCCCCAAGGAAACAATTTTTTTTCCTGGCGTGGCAGTCAATGTGTTAATTAATGGAGGCTCTCCTATAGGATTCTTTTAGGTAGCAAGTTTTTGAAATATGAATCAATTTCCAAAATTCCTTTTGTAAAAAAAAGGAATACATTTGTTTCCTACAGTTCTGTATCATGCTCAAATATCTTTAAGCAATTAATTTCTCTTCTGCCCTCCAAACCTTCGCCCTCTCTGTAAAATGACAACATAATTTTAACACACAGAGATGATAGTTTACTCACCTGGAAGAACTTGATCTTTTATACACAAATACATACAAAGGTTTCTTAAAATGAAAGCTGATCGTCAGAGATACTGTTTATATTCTAAAAGTAGTTCGATGTGTTTTTTTCCCCCTTTAACTGGCTCTCATACAGGGTCTTACTGCATGATTTCTAAGCATTTCCACTCTTTACAAATTGTTTGTTGGAAGCACTTCAAGGTCTATTTGTTAGCATTGAAAGTAGTACATGAAGACCTAATTTAGGTAGGCAGGAATTTGGAGAAAAATTGTGCCAATTTCTCTCCATTGCTGTTGCTTTCCATGGAAGATGTTTTGTGTGGCTTGTTCATATGAAATTAGAAGTGACGGAGATTTTTGTTGTAGGCTGTTGAGAACTGCCCTTCCTTTTTTTTTTTCTTTAACCACAAGGTCTGCCTTGAATGTAATGGGATAATGGGATGGAATTCTCGAGAAAGGTATCGAATGGGGTTTCCAGAATCCTCATCTGTGCTTTTATCATGGGCCAATTGTTCATTCCTATAATAGTTTGCCAATTGCCAAAGCAGCTTTCAGTGTGATTCCAATAAATTGATCTTGTGCTGCAACATAGAATTTGTTCCATGTCAGTCATATCTGACTGGCCTGCAGTCTCTTCATTTTATTTTTCTACACACATTACTTTCTAAATCCTGGACTTGAAAGGCCCTATCACAGACAGTAATAATATTTAGGCACTTTCAGTCCTGCTCAGAGATACTTCTTGCAAAACCCAAGGCAGAGTCAGCAGATACCACTTTCATATCCTCCTAGCAGATGAGAGTAAGCCTTCCTTTTTGTTTTTCTTTCCCTCTTCTCTTTTCATTCAGTGGCTGCTTGCAAAACTGTAGTGTTGTCAGCCTAAGCAGTTTTTATGTGAGATTTCTTATGGAATGGAAAAAGGAACTTGGTTCCCTATTTTTGGAGCGAGTGACTTGAATTTCCCCAAACTGGAGTTGGAAATGATTTCTTGCTGTCAGGTCTCTGACTCAGTTCCTGGTACTAGATTGTGTTTTACAGAATGGCTATTATTTAAAAGATAAAAAACAACAGATGTCAGTGAGGGTGGTGAGCAAAGGGAACTTGTACACACTATTGGTGGGAGTATAAATTAGTACAACCTCTATGGAAAACAGTGTGGAGGTTTCTCAAAGAACTAAAAGTAGAACTATCCCACTACTGGGTATCAACACAAAGGAAAAGAAATTATTGTGTTAAAAAGATACCCACACTTGTATGTTTATTGCAGCACAATGCACAATAGCCAAGATACGGAGTCAACCTCAGTGTCCATCAATGGATGATTGGATAAAGAAAAATGGTATATATACACAATGGAATACTATTAAGCCATAAAAGAGAATGAAATAATGTGTTTTGTTACAACATGGATGAAACTGGAGGTTATTAAGTGAAATAAGTCAATTGGAGAAAGACAACACATGTTCTCACTTATAAGGAGCCCAATAAGGTATACGCGTGGATGTAGATTGTGGAATGATAGAGAATGGAGACTTGGAAGAGTATAGGAGTGGGAGAGTAGATAGATGATGAGAAATTACTTAAGGGAGGGGCACAATGTAGATTATGGAGGTGATAGATACACCAAAAGCCCTGACTTCACCAATGCGAATCTATGCATGTTCCAAAATTAAACTTCTTCTCTATAAATTTTTATAAAAACATTTTTTAAAAGCAAAAAATAAATGAAAACAAAAAGTGCATAATACAAATAAATAATAAATTAATAAGAACAGCTCCATTAAAACCACTGTTTCTTTCATATGTGCTGTGTGCCAGGCACTGAGCTAGATCATTCCATCATGTTCATGTTCCTCATTTACTCTCCCAGCAGCTACGTGAAATAAGTGTCATGAGCCTAATTAGCAGATGTTGGAATTGGCCCTGACTCTGGCGATTTCTAGTGTTCTCCAGTAGTTCATCTTGTCTACTCTCATCTGTGATGTTCTATTACTCTACTAATCACCTTCTCAAACAATATTTTATTAGATCCTTATCTCTTCTCTGCTAGGAAGTTGTGGTCAGAAAAAAGAGTGCTGTATTTTGAGTCTCAAAAACTGTGTTTAAATCTTATCTCTGTGGTCTGTTAGCTTTTTGACCTTGAGTAAATTACTTAATGTTGCTTAGTCTTAGTTTCCTCATCAGAAAAGTGGCAAGGGTGATCATTTAATTCATAAAGTAAACACTAACTATTTTCTATGTGCTATAGATATAAAGATGAATAAGAGACTATCCATATCCTTCA